TTGAAAGAGATAAAATTTCATCCATTGCTTGTAAGCATTTGTCTGTATTGGCTCGATCCAGTCCAAGATTAGATTTTATTTGAGCATCTAATTGTAAGAGTTGAGCCTCTATACGAAGCCATCTAAAAAATAATATATAATAAATGTAAATACTTAGTAAAAATCAACATTGACAACACAAATAAAGCTACAACTTTAAGCTAAACAGCAAAAAATATCTCATCAAACCTCAATTTATATGTTTTGCGATGAACAGCTCCATCCTTTGTCAAAAGTCGTTTTTCATCTTCTGGGACGGGTACATTAAAATCTAGAGAATCTTTCACTCGCTCTGGTAACATTTCACCACTCTCTAATTGTGCTTTGAGTTTCATAGCTTTTGTAGCAGTTGACCAATCCCATTGTGCTCGAGCTTTTTCACTTTCGAAAGATTTCGGCCTATCTATATCTAACTTAATACCCACATATTCACCAGCAAATGTACGAGCCAAGAGAACTCGGTTTGATGTATCAGAAGACGTACCACTTGATACTACAGTTCCATCAAATAAGGAGCTTTCATTATTTCTTTCTATAAATTAAATAAATGATGTTTTTAAAGATGTAACTAATTTAAAAGATTTTTAAAAGTAAAAAATTATCTACACAAATGCGTACTTTCATTAGCCGCTCTTTTTTTATGCGTCACAGGTGTCATTTGATGCTCATTAGAATCTTCGTTTTTCGTTTTACGACCTCGACCAGTATGTTCTAAACAGAGTAACATTTACAATTGCATTATACTATAATTTTTTAAATACAAATATATAAAAAAATAACCGACTTTTTTAAAAATAAACTTTGATAATTAAATATATTTTTCCCCAAGATAAAAATTAAATTGTTAGAAAAGAGAATTCAATAGAACTATTATATAAAAGTAGGGACATAAATAGATAAACAGTATTAAAAAAACAAATATTGAAAATTTTATTAATTAAAAATGATGTAGGAATTGTACAGAAAAAATTTACAGGTTTACATTTACAGATAAAAATTTAGATTTCTGTATACGAATTAATGACAGCTGTTCCAAAAGAACTAATCTTTTTAATTCTTTTGTAGACAAATTCCGAGTTTCATTGGGTTCCTTAAGTCTTGAATATTTTTCAGATATTTCTGATGAAAAAGTCTGGGTTTCTTCATCCACCATTAAATGTGATATAGGTGTCTTTACTGTGCTCCTACCTTTAAATATTAGTTATTATCAGGGAAATTGATTTTAATTTTTGCAAAGAATAACAGTGTATTGCAATATCGATAAACTACATTTCACAATTGAAATGTGATTAATATTTGAACTCAATGTGTTCCTAAAAACACATTGTGCATTGAATTGAAAACAAGAGCTAATAAAAAGTCGATTATTTAATCATTTATATTTGAATAATTTTTATCCATAAAGTTGTAGAAGAAATTCTTTGAAAAACGTATATCATAATAAAAGATTGTTATAAACACAAGTTCATACCTATATTAGTTTCGGTTTCATCTGAACTCGAAAAATCTGCAAAGCGTTTTGGTTTGATCTTGCGTCCACTGCGACTAACTACTTCTTTTGGCGATTCCTCACCTTGTGAATCTAAAGCACCTTCTGCCACCCTTGATGCATCATTTGAAGCTTTTCCTCTACCACGTTTTTTCTTTATTTCTGGAGTATCTTGCTACATTATTACATACATTTATTAGATATACGCTGGTATATGTATTTAATTTTATATTCATTTATATAAATATATATGTATAAAAGTATAAGGAACAATCGCACAAATTATTTAAACTTTAAAAATATTTGTCGGCAGTTCCTAAATTTTTTTTGGAGTATATTTAGCCAATAACTGTTTTCTTATACAGTATTGTAAAATATATGGTACTCCAAAACATTACTTTGTACAAATAACAAAAGATAAATGTTGCTTACAGCAGGATTGGGTGTAGATGTAAGGACTTTCCTCTTTACTGATTTCTTTTTTTCTCCTTCGTCAATTACCAAGGAACCAGCTTCTATATCACTATCTGTAGCACTGACTGTTGGTTCTGTTGCTTCAGCACCTAGTATTATTATCAAAGTATTATTTATAATAATCCATTTAATTAAAAAATATTTAATCTATTTAGATTTTATTGTCAATATTGATAATTACCTTTAATAGCATCGATATCTGCCAAAGGTTTGTTTCTGTCATTTTTAAGTTCTTGTTCAAGTTGCTGTATACCTTCATGAAAGAATTTTCGACGACTAGGTTTGCCGAATTTTTCTTTGTTTTCAACATAGGTATACAACTCATCAACTTTGCAAACAGCTCTGAAAGATTTAATATAATATTTCATAAAAAATAATCCTTTAATAATATTTATAAATTTCAGAGAACTAGAATTATCATTTATATTATAAATTACTTACGTTTCTCCTGTACCATAAAAGTAAACACAATATTTAGCATTCTTGGAATTTGGATCATTGACTTTTTCGACCTGCAAACAGATGAAGTGAGATGCAAAACAGATGAAGCAGCATGTATTAAATTTTAATATGACAGACAGGGTACCTATCATGTCAGAATGAATTCCGATCGGAATTATTTCGTTTTTCCTAGAAAACACAATAGAAATCTAGGGAGTAATTAAATAATTCCAATCAGACTTGTTCCATAACAGGTATCCAGAATTGATATATATGTTCCTCCATGGAAAATACATTAAGCCTATTCTACAATATGCTCTTTGTTTCCTGTTTCTGGTTTTTTACCTTTTGCTTTTAACTCCTTTGCAACTGCTTTATCGACAATTGTATTTCTTGTTTCTTTCGAAGTTCGTTAACTTTTATCTCAGGGGATATAAAACAAAAAACCATTTAAGAATCAAAAAGACAAGATGTAAAAAATAGCAAAAAGCAAGAAACTAGAAACAAAAAGCATTGTAGATCAAGCTTTATGATGGATATCGAAATATTA